TGGTGATGCAGGAAACTAAGACAAATGAAAAATTCAATTCCCTTACTGTCTACAGACCATTAAACAAGTCCTTGAAACCAGCAGAGTGACCTTCCTGTAGGAGCTCAGCTGCCTTGACGATGACACTTTTCTAGGAGCAAAAGGGAATCTTGGCTTAACATTATCCTGACCCCCCCGCCCCCCAGGATCCTGCAAGTCTCCTTTAACAAATAAAAAATCTCTTGGAGGGGCGCCTGGGTGGCTCAGTCAGTTAAGCGTCCGACTTCAGCTCAGGTCACAATCTCGCGGTCCGTGAGTTCGAGCCCCTCATCGGGCTCTGGGCTGATGGCTCAGAGCCTGGAGCCTGTTTCAGATTTTGTGTCTCCCTCTCTCTCTGCCCCTCCCCCATTCATGCTCTGTCTCCCTCTGTCTCAAAAATAAATAAACTTAAAAAAAAAATTCTCTTGGAAATGTCCTTTATCTCAATTCCCCCAAGATATATGCTGGCAACCATATTCCCGGTTTATGGCCCCCTGACAGATACCTGAAGGGTCTCATGGCTGAGATTTTACTAAACGGTTATAAATGGCATTTTCCTAACACCACCTAGCTCCTCAAGGTCCTGGGAACCTTGCTTCCAAACTAACTGAGAGACTTCCTCTAACCCTAACCCCATCCCAACCTGAGGGTATATAATCAGTTACCCGTCACAAACCTATTGCAGCTTTTTCTGCCCATGGGCTCTGTCCCTGTGCTTAATAACATCATCTTTTTGCACCAAGACATCTTCAAGAATTCTTTCTTGGCCATTGGCTCTAAACCCCACCATCACCCCCAAAATCCATCACAGATGATGTGTTTAATTACAAATTTCACCTGTTGATTTATTATATAAGAAAGCGATGGACTGTTGTATATTAACTTTGAATTATGCAACTTTTCTACAACCACTTCCCTCCAAGAGTTGGTTCATTCTTCCAGATTTTCTACAAAGACAATTTTGTCACCTGCCAAGAGTTTTATTCTACCTTTCCCAAAGTACTTACTTCCTTTTCTTACTAAGAGTTCCAGTACAATGTTGAAAAGGAATGGTGAAAGGGTACATTTTTCCCTTGTTGCTGATCTTAGCAGGAAAGTTTCTAGTTTATCATTAAGTGTGATGTTAGCTGTAGGTTTTTTGTACATATCGTTTACCATATTGAGGAAGTGCTACCTCTATTCCCAGTTTGTTAAACTTTTATCATTAATGGGTGCTGGATTCTGCCAAATTCTTTTCCTGTAAGTAATGAATTATTTGATTTTTTCTTCAGCCTGTTGATATATTGTTATTGATTTCTTTTTAAGAGGAGCTAGCTTTGTATACCTAGGATAATTCCGACTGAGCTCAAGTCTTTTTTTTTTTTTTTTAATTTTTTTTTCAACATTTATTTTTGGGACAGAGAGAGATAGAGCATGAACGGGGGAGGGGCAGAGAGAGAGGGAGACACAGAATCGGAAACAGGCTCCAGGCTCTGAGCCATCAGGCCAGAGCCCGACGCGGGGCTCGAACTCACGGACCGCGAGATCGTGACCTGGCTGAAGTCGGACGCTTAACCGACTGCGCCACCCAGGCACCCCTGAGCTCAAGTCTTTAATTCCTCACATACATGTCGGATTCTACTTGCTATTTTTTTTTTTCACTTATGTTCATGACTTAGTGGTCTGTTGCTTTCTTGTAATACCTTTGTCTGTTTTTAGTGTTAGGCTGGCATCAGAATGAGTTAGCAAATCATCCCCTCAGCTTCTGTCTTCTAGAGGAGAATTGGTATAATTTCTCCTTTCAACATGTACTAGACTTTACAAGTGAATGCACCCAGAATTGGTGCTATTTTGGAAAATTACTGATTTCATTTCTTTAATAGATATTAGACTACTCAGACTGTCTTATGTGAGTTTTGGCAGATAGTCTCTCTCAACTAATTGGTCCGTTTCATCCAGGTTATCATCCCCTTTGAGGACGTAGAGGTGTTCACACTATTCATTTATTATCCTTTTACTTTCTGGTGGTTCTGTAAAGATGTCCCCTATTTCCTTGCTGGGTTAGTAATTTGAATCCTCCTTCCTCTTTGTGTGGCACAGTTACTTTATTAGTCTTTTCAAAGAACCAAGTTTTGGGTTTGCTTTTGATCTTACTGTTTCCCATTTCATTTGTTTCTGCTCTAGTTTTCATTATTTCTCGTCTACCTATTTTGGAATTTATTTGCTCTTTTTCTAATTCCCTAATATAGAATTTTAGATTATCAATTACAGGTTTCTTCTTTTCTAGTATGTATATTCAACACTATATATTTCCCTTTAAGCACTGCTTCTGCTATATTCAAAGGTCAATGTTTTCATTTGTATTTAGTTCAAAATACTTTAAATTTCACCTGTGTCTGCAATATTGAGGACAGTAGTTTGCCCTGTGACTTCACCGCTGATGGATCTAAAAAGAGTTAATTTTTCACTTTGCTCAAATTTTTGCTGTTCTTGGAATAGAGTGATACCTTCTATGCTCTTTACGTGCATAGGAAAGCAGAGAATCCCCCTCTTTTCTCAGGACATGGTGCTCCACACAATTGAGGACTATACTGTGTAAACTGCAGACAAAGGATATGGAAAGCAAGATATCCCCACACAGTAGAAAAATAAAGGCAACTGCTAGCAGAGTAGTGAAGTAGAGTCTCCAGGTGACTGTTACGCAGACAGAATGAGAAACTAAGTGAAAGAAGGCTTTGTGCCTCTTTAGGAAGGGGTGCCTATAAATGGGAAGATATTCACAGACCTAAGTTAAGAATGAATAGAATCTCTTTGAAAAGACTCAAGAGAAACTGCCTCTAAGAAGGAAGAAGAAGGGACAGAGTTGACATGAAGGCTCTTGTTAACCCTTGCTACATGTACATTGTCCTTCTATTACCTAGTGGAAAAAAAAATTCATGTAACATTTATATAGTGTAATGTAAGAAGCAATGTCAGTATTATATCCCCAAGAAATAGATGCTTCTGGATTAAGGATTTTGTTTCAAAACACATGTACTTAATACTTTAAACAAATGAATCTGATATTCTGGTGATAATTAAGGTCAAGAACATTTAAAAATCTAAACAATGAATTTGAAATAACAGTCCATGTGAGTTACTCTATTACAAAATATGAAATCTAGTCATTGTGATAAATTTAAGGTATTGATTTTCAATTTGTTCTTGTTCTTTAACAACTTACAGAAATTTATAAATTATCTGTTAAAATTTATCACAAGTCCTCAAATGTGGTTTGCTCACCTGATAGCAGTATATATATACTCTCATGAATTTGAGACCCTGTTACCAAGTGTTTAAGAGCATGGACACTGAAGTCAAATAATTTTTCCACGTGACAAGTTGGACAGAAAATATTTATGTAGTCTGTTCCTCAGTTTCTTCCATTTGAGAAATGGAGAATGAGAATTATTTAAAAAAAAAAAAAGTAAACATACACTGGAGGTGTCTGGTGTAGTGAGTAGTTTATGGCTATTCCTTGATAAAGTGTGGATATTGGTTATGCATTTAGATAGTTAACTATACAAATTGGGGTTTGGTAAGTAGCCAGAAACTGTATGATAACATCTAATGTTTGTGTAAATTTCTGTGTCCTCTGTACCCATATTGGAATAGCTCTGACCATGTTTATGAAACTTCTCCTTCTGCTTTCCCTGACAGCCAGTTTCCTTCAGGAAAAAAAAATGAGAAAAATTAGTGTTGCAGTTGGAAGAATAAAAATAGAAAATGAAAAGAAAGGTGTATGTAACTATTACGAATTCTCAACTGTTACCATTAGAGTATTGGATTTTCTCTTCCCATTCTATAATTAGATTTTTTTTAATGTTTATCTATTTTTAAGAGACAAAAAGAAGCACGATTGAGGGAGGGGTAGAAAGAGAGAGAGAGGTAAAGAATCCTCAGCAGGCTCCACTCTGTCAGTGCAGAGACTGATGCGGGGCTCAGACCCATGAGCCATGAGAGCATGACCCCAGCCAAAACCAAGAGTAGGATGCCTAACTGACTGGAGCCCCATTCTCTTCCCATTTTAAAGTACTCTGTAAATCACACATAGTTGAAGCTTTTTGTTATGTATATCTTGCTTTACTGTTTTTTCCATATGCAGGAGTAAAGTTATATGACTAACATCAAGGTAATATCCCTCCCATACTTTTGGGTCCTTCTTCATGGATCTTCACCCCATAGTTAACCTCCTTCCCTACCCTTTCTACTGTACCATTCTGTTATGCTGTGGTACACTCAATCTCATTACATAAACAGGTTCTTCACCACCTACAGCTGAAGGTACACCAACTGCTTGACATCTTTCTCATGTGGTATCTATTGCCTTTCCCAACCATCAGTTACTAAAAAGGCTTGAAGTCAGAGTTAATATTCCAGATCCCCACTGTTCTTCCATAACAAGGAATTTTTTTGGAATCCTATCCTTCCATAATTCATGTCATCTGGTAAAATCTTCCCATCTTCATAGTACCGTCATGTCTCACTCCTCCACAGGCTCTGCAGTTTTATGCACATGGATCAGTCTTCCTTTTTACTCGAACTACTGACACTACCTTGGCTGAATTCCAAGCCCATATACAAAACTTTCAAATCCTCTACAACTTTGTTTCACCTTTTGTCTTCCCCTGAGCAACTACTTTTCTGTAATCCTCCTAGAAACTTTTTTTTTTACAATTATTTAAGATCTTTATTAACAGATGCTTGTCATTTGACTTTTTTGAAAAAAGTCAAGCCGTAAACTTTGATTACAAATTAAAAATGAGGTTCTTAAAAATCTCAACTTGACCAGGTATGAAACAATTTAAAAACCTTTAAAAGGGTGTTGAGGGGGGCGCCTGGGTGGCTCAGGTGGTTGAGTGTCAGACTTCAGCTCAGGTCATGATCTCGCGGATTGTGGTTCGAGCCCACATCTGGCTCTGTGCTGACAGCTCAGGGCCTGGAGCCTGCTTCAGAGTGTGTGTCTCCTTCTCTCTCTTCCCCTCCCCCACTCACACTCTGCCTATCTCTGTCTCAAAATAAACATTATGAAAACCAACAATAAAAATTAAAGGGGTGTTGAGAAAAAACAGTTTTTTAAAAACATGTTTGTCACTACTGAAATGAGATGTCTTTAGGAAAAAATATATATATATATATATAATAATAATAATAATAATAATAAAATTAAAACCCCATGCTACATAGATAATGCAGATCACTCTATTTATCTGGTCCAAGCACTTAAAAAGTTCAGCTCTGATCTTTTTTTTACATTTCTTATTGCTGGAATTTCATCTTCATTTCTTCCTGTTGGATGACTCAACTGGATGATGGTGGAGATGGTAAGCCCACATGTACTCAGATCCACCCTTCTCAACCTCTGGAGCTAACGAATTCTCAGCTTCTGGTTCGGCTGCTTTTGTCTCTTGCCCATCTTATGATTTAGGATTTTCTGGGAACCTGCATGCATAAGTGAAATTGTGGCAGTACTGACAATGAGATGGATGGCTGCTGACTTTGGGTCTCATCTCCTTGATCTTCCCTATCTTCTTCAGTGCTATCCTCCAAAAACTAGGCTGTCTTTGGAGAGGAGGACCCCTGTGCAATGGTGATCTTATAAGCCCGATGCATATTTTATCTCATGGGTCTACCCTGAAGTCTACCTCAGAAGACTGTGGCCAACAGACACTGGTAACCACCTGTAATAAGATGGAAATCATAGCCTGCATGAGGCCAGGCCTTTAGGAGCAAGCTCAGTTCCCACTCTTTCCCCCACTCTCACTATACTGGGTATTTGCTGGGAGTCGCGGGGACGACACTGGCCAAGGGGATAGCATGGATAACGGTTATGATCTGCTGCTTACCTACTGCCTGTCACTGAAACTCCACTCAGAGCCTGTCACATTTGCTGCCTGCACGCCCTTTTCTCTTTCAACGTCTGACTCTACAGTTCTTTTAACTCATATATTGCGAAGGTACTTCCTGGGATTATTCTTCTTTACAGTAGTCTGGGGCATTCCAGTTGATGAAACCATATCAGTTTCCTATACTCAGTCATTTTATTGTTCCCAAAACCTTCATCAGGATGACCTTGTTGTCCCCACAGGCAGATGCCACCACTCTGTGTGCCACTGCCCATGGGGCCACGCTTGGTGTCTTCAGTGGCTGCCGGGTCTCGGCCTCGCTGCTCCGGATTGCGGTCACAGTGACTGGGATGGTCAGAAAGCTGTGGCTTCTCCCAGGGGGGTGGGTGATAGTAACTAGACTGGGGTCTGCTGTCCACTCTTGCCACCATTCCAACTCTAGAAACGTGATTTTTTTTTTTCTTTTTCCTTCTGGATCCTTTCATAATTTCAGTTGTTTTTTGAGGTTTTGTTTTGTTTTGTTTTAATTCAAGTATAGCTGCCACACTAAGTTACATTATTTTCAGGTACCCAACAGTGACTCCACAAGTCCATAAGTTATGCTGTGCTCATCCTAAGTGTAGTTACTATTTGTCACCATATTGTACTATTATAATATCTTTGACTATCTTCCCTATGCTCTTTCATCCTGGTGACATACATTCCATAACTGGAAGGCTCTGCCTCCCACTACCCCTTCACCCATTCTGCCCATCCCTCAACCTTTCCCCTTTGGCAATCACCTTCAAACTTGATTTTACCTCTATCTGTTCTTCATAAGACATTTTTAATTTCCACAACTCAAGTCTCTGACTAAAACTTCCAATCCATCATTTCTCTTACTCTCTCCTTACATTAATCTTGCCATTTTAGCTCAATGAGGCATCCAACACTATATTAAACAACACTTAAAAAATCAGAAGACTATAGTTGAAGGCATTCGAGCTTTATTACTGCCTTGATCTATTGGCTATCCACTAAATCTCCATTATGAACTCCAACTACAAATCAATCATGTTGTTTTATTCCCTTAATTTTCTATTCATATGTTTTACCAGTTTTAAGTGTACATACTTTGAAGAACCAAATATCCCTACAAGATTTGTCACAAAAAATTTTACCTAACCCCCTTCACTCTAATTTGTCTTCCCCATACACAATTATTTTTCCTTCATTCAACTATCTCTTCTATTATTCACTTCCATGTTTAGCAGTCAACTATTGCTGGAAAACAAATACACAGGCTCAGTAGTAATAAGCTTATTTTTCACTTGCAGAGCTGTGTGATGGCTTACATGGTTGTGCGGCAAGCTGCAGGGCTTTGAGTTGGCTGCGGCAGCTAGGACCCATTGGTCACACTCTGCAAGACAAACCGGAGGGGCTACAACCAACCAGTATATGCCTTCCTAGCAGCAATACTAGAACCACAAGAGGGCAAGCCCAACAGTACAAGCACACTTAAGCCTCCATCTCTATCACATCTGCTAAAATCCCAAAGCAAGTTAGGAGGTCCAATCCACAATCGATAACCAGGGAAAACCCTTCCCTCACCAAGAGGCCATGGCAGGAGTGCAGAAGTAGAACAGTGTAAGAGGACTGAAAATCTGGGGTCAACTAACTTATCACATTGTGATCTCTGAACATACTGTGATACTACCTCTTTATCTTCTGAACTGTCTATCTACTGAAGAATTCTGTCCCTTTCCTTCTAACCTCACCATGATATACACTAATACTTACCAATTCCCCACTCCTTCAATGTCATAATTTTTGGTTAAATCAGTATTGAGTGTTTACATCACTGACTACGTAAACATTCCTCCGAGCTAAGTCATTTATTATAATTCCTTTCTTGCACAAGCCTTTGTCTTCCCTGGAATTAAAACCTATCTTCCAAGTGTATAGTTTTCTATATACTTAATGACTCATTCAACAGCTAACACTTAGCTATTTGTTTAGATCTACTGTCAAGACGTTCACACACAGGCACTTCACCACTTTTATATTCCTGAAGTAATCATTCTTGGAGTCTTCTGAGGTTTTTCAACATGGACAAGTTGTCTTCTTCCACTCACACGTTTTGTGTATGATGTGGTTATTTTTCTGGGAAAGGATTTTACCAGTTTGAACTTTTATAACACACATCGAAGTTAGGATCCATTGTTTTATGGTAATTGTGTCACGGTCCACGGCTACAGATAATCCAGTTACCTATCTATCCTTTCAGCTTTAACATCATTCACAGTATTATTTCTGCAAGGCAGCCTGGGAAGTTTGCCCAACAAAGAACAATATATACATTAGAGAAAAATTAAATCAAAGGCATGCATGCACAGGTTTCTCACTCTGTAGTTACAGATCCATGCTCAGAATGTTTCAAGTAGAAACAAAATAGACTATCTTACAATTAGGTAAACAATGAACACCTGCATTCAATTTATCATCTGAAAATCAAACTTTAAGCAGTTTGCATACATTTACATTGTCTGAATTATGCAACATATTCTAGAATTGCACGGGAGACAGTTATCCAAGAAGCTTGGTTCTTAAAATTTATCAGATCATTTTATGAATAAACAATTTCAGACTAAGTCCATAGGAGGCTGAAAATTCAGAAGCATCTCTCATGCTTCAGTAAACAAAGCACAAATGACCTGGCTAAGGACAGGATTTCTTTGTATACAAGTGTTTTTAATGTGTTTACATAAAGTTGTACTCAGAAAAGGTTTTCAAGTGCCTATCAACAGAAAACAAAATTGTCAGTTTATCACATTTTTGCCAACCTTACCCAACCAAAATTTGTTATGAACCTAGAGAAAAACACCATCCATGTGTATCAGTTCACCATTACCTAGAAAATGTAGGGTCCTTTTGGGTCTCCAGGTAATTGGGGAGAAAAGTTATCATGGGAAAATGAATTTACCAGTAATTCTAAAACTGTGTTTTTAGTCCTTCTGTTGACTTTCACAATCAAATATTGTCAAGCACTATTAAAAAGTAAGACTTTCACTGGAATATCTTACTCCACTCTCTCCTGGGCCATCATTGGAAGAGTAAACTGACCAAAGGTTAACAATAAAATTAAGAGTAAAATATTGCCGAGAAATATATTGAATGGACATATTACATATGCATTATCTAGCCCTAATATAAACTAAGGGGAAATGGAAACCCTTTATCACCATCCAACCCCAGAGACAAGGCAGCTTCAAGTTTATTTACAGAGATCTGTTAAAAGGCTGTTGCCAGGGGGCGCCTGGGTGGCGCAGTCGGTTAAGCGTCCGACTTCAGCCAGGTCACGATCTCGCGGTCCAGGAGTTCGAGCCCCGCGTTGGGCTCTGGGCTGATGGCTCAGAGCCTGGAGCCTGTTTCCGATTCTGTGTCTCCCTCTCTCTCTGCCCCTCCCCCATTCATGCTCTGTCTCTCTCTGTCCCAAAAATAAATAAAAACGTTGAAAAAAAAATTTTTTTTTTAAAAAAAGGCTGTTACCAGAATGTCAAGAGATGATAAGTATCTGAAATAAGTCCAGGAAATATTGAGAAAGGAGGATCAAAAGTCACAAGTTATTTCAGTAGCTACAGGACTGGTGACATTATTATCTAGGCTGAAAGATGTAGAAAAGTGAGTAGGTCTATTGGTTAAGCTCAAGGCATCATTTAGATTTAAGCCACCTGTAGGACACCTAGTAAAATTACTCTTAGGAAATTGTAAATAAATACCAAACATTCATGGGGAAAACACAGAAAAGAATTATCAGGAAAGTTGAGGAACATATGTATTTACTAAGCAAATATTTAAGGATAATTTACCAACCATTAAAAACTATAGATACTCATGGGGAACCTGGGTAGCTCAGTTGGTTAAGCATGCAACTTCAGCTCAGGTCACGATCTCGCGGTTTGTGGGTTCGATCCCTGCATGAGGCTCTGTGCTGACAGCTCAGAGCATGGAGCCTACTTCAGATTCTGTGTCTCCCTCTCTCTCTGCCCCTCCCTCATTCATGTTCTGTCTCTTTAAAATATAAATAAACATTAAAAAATAAAAAAATAAAAATTACAGGCACTCAGAAGGATGAGTAAGGCTGGGGAAAATCATATAGGCAAATTTAACACAAGGAGATAATGGGTATATCGGAGGTATGTTCACAGGCTGAGGGAAATAAGAGAAGCACCAATCCTTTCACAAGATTAGCTATTATTTTTTTTTTAATTGACACATTATGTAAGTTCTACAAAATTTAACCTGAGTTCAGGGCAATTCAAACTTTAACTATCTGCCTTAAACCTAAATTAGACATTATCTGAAGTCCTTCATTGACCAGAAGTATAGTTTTAATATTAACCCATCTTCTACACAACTTGCCCAGTAGCCTCCTTCTAAAACACATTCATTGGGGCGCCTGGGTGTCTAGGTCTATTAAGCGTCCAACAAGCTCAGGTGATGATCTCACAGTTTACAAGTTTGAGCCCCACATCAGGCTCTGCACGGACAGCTCAGAACCTGGACCCTGCTCCGGATTCTGGGTCTCCCTCTCTCTCTGTTCCTTCCCCACTCGCACTCTGCCTCTCTCTCAAGAATAAACATTAAAAAAAAAAAAAATACACTCCTTGTAATTTATTATCTTTAGTCTTCTCTCTAGTTCGCTCTTATCTCCCATGATAGTTTCACCCCTTTACAGTCTCACTTTGCAATTTAGTTTCCTCAGCACTAACTCTCAACTGACACATGATCTAGGAAACTACCTGTGGCATTTTTCATGAACTCTGTTCTTTCTAATCTGCATCCTTCGATCATGAAACAAGTCATAACTAAGAGTAGGAATGAAATCTGCCTCAACAGTAGGCCACAGAGATGGAACAAAAAAATGATCTGTTCGACAATGTGAATGAATTTCAAAATCATTATGTTTTAAACTAATAAGCCACACACAGAAGACTACACCTCTAGGATTCCATTTATAAGACTGCTACAAGGTGAAAAACTATACAGGCAGAAAACAGATCCATGATGGCTAAGCCTGAGAATGGGGAAAATGAATTCACTACACATTTGGCCACGTGATTTGTACTATCCAATAGGAGAAGTGACAGTGTCGCAGTTGCAAAGGTTGTAAATCTAACCTTTAAAAAACCTTGCAGCTTACCACTCTCTTATACCTGTGTCACTTCCATAAAAGAACATACCTGTAATAAACTGCTGATCAAAGAAAGGCAAAGCATGGAAAACTGTCCAGCGTATATACACCTGCAGTGTGAGCAGAGCTACCCCAAAACAGAGCTATCTAGCCAAATCCATATCAGAATCTCAGCTAACCCACAGGCACATGAGCATAAATTAATGTTGAACTACCATGTTCTTGGATGGTTTATTACACACCATGGATATAGCTATGGCAAACTAAGTTGTTGGAAAAGTTTTCTGAAATTTACCAACAACTAGGAAGACTTTAATGACTATTCTATAATACAGCAAGCAACTCTAAGTAATAAACTACAAATATATGCAGAAGGAGTCTCAATAATGTCTACCAAAAGTCATGGAGAAATATTACCGGTAAGACTCTCTTCATACATATATTCATAACCAAGTAATTTTAGGAAACTCTAGTTATTTGTTAAGACTGTAGAGGTAGACAAGAAAATTATTAGCACAAAATTAAAATAGGAGCAAAGGGAACGCAGGACAAGGATGAAAACAAAAAGGAGAATACTGAAGACATCAAGTAAAATACCAGCAATGTTTTATTTCTTAAGCTGGATGATAAAGACAAGATTAAATACCTATTTTCTTTTAAAACTGTCTATCAAAATATATGTAATACATGCTAAGGAATATATTTTATCAAACATGCATATTAACACACATGTACACAAAAGCCTTGCCACGTAGAGAAAGAATTAAGACCTGCACACCTGTCCCTCATCCACAGAGAGCTAAAACTGTGGTCCCTGGACAGGATGAACTTCATAGTGCAGTTACAGACTGGTGAGGATCCATTATAGCAAGATGATCTGGATACACTGGAAAGTTATCTAGGAACACCTGGATTTCAGTATTTCTTCTGTAATAGGTAACAAGCTATTCTGAAGAACTTAATAAATCCCATTAGCTACAAGGAGGGTTTTTTTTTGTTTTTGTGTTTTGTTTTGTTTTTTAATCAAAAAGTATAAAGCAAGTGTGTGAGAACACAGCCCAATAGATAGGTCACTTTCTGCACGTCCTCTGTATGTTGTATGAACTCCATCCTGGATGAGCAGAGTATGCCCCTGGCAAACAACAACTGCTCCAGACCATTACACCTAACTTTGGCCACCAGGCTTTGATGTACTGAGACCCTTGCATTTCATATACTACACTAGCCCTTGTCTCTAGCATAGATGGAGCAAATAAAATTTGTACCACTAGTAACAAAGCCTCAAAGTACACTAATACACAATCTCTAACCTCATTTTCCTTGAGTAAACTGTCCATGATACAATAACTGAGTTGTCAAACAACAATTTTAATGTCATACTCATTTTTATCTTAGTAGTGAAAATACCTACAACAATAGGAGGTTTTCAGTTTTTGCCTGAATTTTTCTGAGAACATCATCAAGTGAAATACTGTATACTTGAAATTGTTTTAAGATTTTTATTTCATTCTTAATTTTAGGGAGAAAAAGAGCACAGGAGCAGGGGAGCCGGGCAGCAGCGGGGGGGGGGGGGGGGCGGGAGGGAAAAAAGAGACACAGAGAAAGTATCTTTTGTGCGTGTGTGTGGAAATAATACAAAACGTTTATTTTCGGTATCTCACAAGAACACAGCTAAGTAATCCAACTCTACTGCAGCATTATAAAAATCATCCCTTCACCACAGGGTAAGATTTAAATGCATCTGCACAAGTATGCATGCTATATTAAAGGAGAAAGGTTGCTGCTGCCCTGCCAAGAACTTACGGCCCCTATCCAGGTCCTACTCCAATACTGGTGGTCCCAATGGTTTTATTGAAATAAATCATGTTTAAAAAATAAAGCATTTAAAAAGACAAGTCAAAATGTCTCAGTAACCATATACCCATCTCAAACTTCATCTATTTAAATGTTACATTTGCCTCTTGCTAATAAGCTTTTATTTCACTCAAACTGAGCAATAAATCTTCCATACTGACGTATCTTCCTTGCCCAATTAATCCAAAGGAAGAAAAAAACTGCAATGATTAATAAAGAAAAATGTAGGAATTAACACACCCTTTTAATATGTTTTTAAATATTTTTAAGGATTAAAAAGTGTTTAAAGTTTGTAATTCCTAGTAGGAAAACATCATCTGAATGAAAACCCTAATGGTAAATCACTGTAAAATGTTTCAGTTGCATGTGGGGCAGAGGGGTAGGGATTATCTTCACAGCACCCCAGCTTTCTCCATGAGAACGTCAGAGATACACTGGTTTGTATTACTGTGACATCCAATAGGTGATCGAAGTTGCTTTTCCTTCAGCAAGGGCTTTGTTTGTCAGAAAGGCATTATGTTGACCTCCAAATTTGGCTGACAATTTACGATGAGATTCATAACCCTTGGGCTACTCTGATATTTTGACGTATTTGCTGGGTTCTGGGCCACATCCTGGAAGGCCACCATAACTTCTGGATCCTGCATGACTGCAAGAACCCCTGGGTCACTAAGAATTTCATTCAGCCCAGGCATTCCTGTCATTCCAGGCATTCCTCCCTCCCCCACCCCCATTCCAGGCATGCCTCCAGGAAAATTACCAGGCATTCCCCCAGGAAAGCCACCTGGGAAAGAGTCATACTGAGCTCCTGATTTGTCTGCCTTTTTCCTCCCTATGGGCTCTCTCATGTTCTTCCGAGCCTTCTTAACCCTTTCTATTCTTTCTTTGATCTCTCGCTCTTCACGTTTTTGCTCACACTTTCTCCAACGTTCAGCAATTTTCTGGGCCCTTGGTTGAACTTCTTCCAACATTGCACGAGCATCTTCATCACAATCCAGTTTACAAGCAAGGGCAATATCATGCGCTGCTTCTTCCCAATGGCCCAGAAGTCAGTGTGCTTTCCCTCGCCCCTTGTAAGGCTGAGCTGAATCAGGATTTATTTCAATAGTTCTGTCACAGTCTCAGATGGCAGCATTTGGCTTCTGTAATTTGATGAAGACACTGGCTCTCTTGGCATAGAGAATGGCCAAGAGAGGATTCAGTTTGATGGCATCCATGAACAAGTCAATGGCATCCCGTAGTTCACCATCATTTAGGGCATCAATGGCAGCCACTTTTTTATCATTTGCCTGATCCATCATTTCCTCAGTTATCTGTACATTTTCATCTCCCATTTCTTGATGGGAATCAGTATCTGGTTCAATCACACCTTCATTGTCAATTTCTAGATCACTTTCCTCACTTGATGGTTCATCTGTCTTTATGTTTTCCTCCGCCTTCTTACTATCTGTTTTTTCTCCCTTGATATTGTCTTCTGATTTAGTTTTATGAGTAACAGGTGGTATTTTACCCTCCATGCTCTCTACCCACTCCCGCAGGAAGCGCATTTCCTTGGTGTGCAGAACACTCAGATCCTGCTTACACATTTTCATGAAGGCCTGAAGCTCGTTCACTTTGCAGGGGTCCATGGTCCAGAGGCGGTGGTGGGTGGCCGACGCAGCTAAGGTTGTGGCCCCATTCCAGGCGCAGGTACTAACTTAGAGTGACCGTGTGGAGAAAGAGAGTATCTTAAGCAGGCTCCACACTCAGCACAGAGCCTGATGCAGTGCTCTATCCCATGACCTTGAGATCATGACCCCAGCTGAAACCCAGAGATGGACATTCAACCACCTGAGCTACACAGGTGCCTCTACTTGAAATTGTTTTAAGTTTATAGTACATGTATTAGATGCTTACCCTGCCTACCGCCCCCCCCCCCGCCTTTTTTTTTTTGTTTTGTTTTTAAGGAAAATGCCTAATCTAAAGTCCATGGTAAAGAGGCATCAACCATGTTTTATTTCCTGTCATTTCTTCCCTCTCCAACCCCATTCTGGTATTTGGTCTATTGCATCAGGACCTATCAACAGAGTAGCCAATCTACCAGATGATCTGTGGCTTATGGTCTGGATGAATAAATAAAGGGGAGTAAATCACATTCCATCTGCAAGAAATTTGAACTACGACATAACAAAACAAACTGCAAGCTGTGAAAGGAAGCCAAACCTACAATGGCACACATTGTTCTTACAGCGGAAGAGATATGGCAAGTAAAACTCAAGTTACAGGAAACAGAAATCATAAATTAAGCAGAGGAATAGAAAAAAATGGATTAATCATAAAGCAACAAAAACCCTAGTTCTAACAAATGTGCCAACAACTTGCCAGTTACCAATTCCATTTTTCCAGAAACTTAGAGTCTGTCTTGGAAAACCTAAAGTCTTCTTTCTTTGCAAAACCAAGAGATAGTCAAGGAGATACCCTGAACACTGGAAAGTTAAAGGAACAGGAAGAATTGTTAATAGAGGCAATTCACCTCAAAATTCTCCTACAAAACTGGTGACTGTATAATTGTAACAACATCACTGCTGTTTGTAAATATGGTCACGATCCAAAAATCTTTCCCACAACAATATTTCAAATATCACACTGAAACCCTCCAAGAGTGAACTCTGGCAACTCTTTCACAATACATGTGAAATCCGCCATATCAGCTTAACTTCGGCATGAACTTCTAGAATCTTCTACCACGCTAAGTGGTTTAGAGTGCCTTATATAGTCTCAGGTTCAAGGATTTCATTTTTAACTATAAATACGTGTGTACAATACATCTACTATACAACCAACACCAAAAGGAATGGTACTTACTCTTTTTAGAACACTATGTTGGTAATACATGGTGCATAGGAAACATAATGGAAAATGATCATCTGTCCAAAAACTGTTCGAAATTTAGTCTTTATGCTAAAAAAAAAAAAACATGGTCTAAGAGTAGTCTTTCATAAAAAAGACGTGGAATATATTTTAACTAAGAAAAACTAAAGGGAAAAAAAAAAGCTGAGAGAATACTGAGAACAAAACAGAGGACTCCTACCCACTGCCAGGTCTCAGTCTTCTGAAGGAAATGCATTCCCTCCTTGATTAATAATCATTATTTCCCAACTGTTGACAGTTATTCTCTGATATTCAATGTGAGCAAAAACACACTCTCTCCCCCAAAAGGATTTTCATATTAAACAGACATCTAACAGACACAGGCCTAAATTAAATACAAAAAAGTAAAAAAACAAACAAAAAAACAACTAATTAGTTTTCATTGTGAAAATATCAAGAGGAGGAAATACATGTAGATGCTAAAGAAAGAAATCTCTCTTAAAATGTAGATGTCATGGAATCAAGAAAAATCATCTGCCCTACTCATCACTCATCACAGAGGTACTATTTCTCTACGGAATTCTCACATGGGAAGATTTAAGACCAATCAAGTCCTGTATGAGCTAAAATTATCTTAATTTTGAGGCATTGGGATCACAGAAAAGATGAAAAAATATTCTCAGAATGAACTTACCAATCTTAATATATGTCATTTATATATTTTTATACATTTCATTCATTACATATTAACTGTTTTATGTGTTATGTTTTGAGGTTAGGAGAGAGAGAGAGAAACAAATTCAAAACATACCAGAAGAGTTCTTACCCCAATCTTGAGGAGTTTATGTTGTGTGATCTTTTTCCATAAAGTGTGCTTGTGAAAGATTTGAGTGATTTCCCTGAAAACTAGAAACTATCTTACTTGATCATGCAAATGCACAGCAAAAAGATATAAAACTTTCTTCGTGATGAAACTTTAAGTTGGACCAACCGGGGACTAATTTTGTCTAGTGCCTGAAAACTACCAAATCATGAAAAAGCCCCTATATTTCCCCCAGCCAGTGCCATTTCTGATTGCCTTGTCACAATGCAAGAGAAAAATAAGAGTTAGGATCTTTTTGTCTTTCTAGGTTGAAATAAAGTCAAAGTAAGTGCCAGGAGTAGGGCATTCCAATTCATTTTCATGTTTTTAACTTTGTCCCTTTTTTCCTCAAAAAGTAGAAATATGTCTATGCACCCTTTAAATCACCTCCCTGAGAGAAATAGTCTTCCTTTCTCATTTCCAATAGTGGGGATGTAGCAAGATTCTCACACAGAGTTGTGACATCGAGGTTTTGGAAGCAATTTTATTCGTGCCAGCACGGCTCAGTCGGGCTGAGCCCTAAACCGAGCCCCGAACGCCATATGGCAGAGTTTTTAATATATTTCCTAGTTCTTTGTCTCCCATATATGGTAACACACACAAACATGCAGTCTGATTAAGTGATCTCATGTTACAAATCGTGAGGGATGTTGTCACATACACGAATAGCCTGGTTACTTTGAAGTTTCTGTGTGTGTGTGTGTGTGTGTGTGTGTGTGTGTGTGTGTGTGTGTGTGTTTTCTTGTCTTAGGGAAGGGACCCTACCAAGGGAGGGCTCCAATTCACTCCACATGAAATTGGCTATCTTCAAAAGGATCACAGCCTTGGAGAAAAATAAGGGAAGGTGGCTAACATAAAAGGTGTCAAGTAACCTTGAACACTGTGTCTCAGAGCACATGTTGTGCAGACAAAAAAAAAAAAAAAAAAAAAAAAAAGTAACTCAAAGGAAATAGCTTCTGGAGACCAGCATTGCTCTCCACAGGGTAAAATACTCTTTCTTTCATACATTCATTTCATTCAAACACTTCCTAAGGTAAACAGTGTATTTGTCTTGAAATTTTTATGTCAGTATATTTATATCAATGTGTGTATACCCTTATCTACGTATAATTTATCAACTAAGGATACAACTTCTCTCATCTATTTTCAAAAACTACATACATGTTGTACCTTAGGACAGTAATTTTAACCACACTCACTGCACGCTTAGTGGGAGAAAATGTCTGCCAATTTGTCCAGGATAATTTGAGGGTTTTGTTTTGTTTTTTGTTGTTTGGGTGTTTTTGGGTTTTTGTTGTTGTTGTTGTTGTTGTTTACTTTACTGAGTCTCCTGAACGATTCTAGAATCCTGCCTTAATTTCTAACTGAAAGTTTATATATCCTGGACATTTCATTGTGCAAATACTCTGATCAAATGCAGAAAAATCTAAATAGACTACATTCAAAATACCACCAATCTTGTTTCAAATCCTGTTAGAAGTACTATAGATTGGGGCGCCTGGGTGGCGCAGTCGGTTGAGCGCCCGAATTCAGCCAGGTCACGATCTCACGGTCCGTGAGTTCGAGCCCCGCGTCAGGCTCTGGGCTGATGGCTCAGAGCCTGGAGCCGGTTCCCGATTCTGTGTCTCCCTCTCTCTCTGCCCCTCCCCCGTTCATGCTCTGTCTTTCTCAGTCCCAAAAAATAAAATATAAAAGGTTGAAAAAAAATTTTTTTTTTAAATAAAAATAAAATAAAATAAATCCTGTTAGAAGTACTATAGAGTACTGCACCTAGATTATGTCATAATAGTTTGGAAACAAATTAAAAAATTCTTGATTTCTTTATAAGAATCACACATGTGTAACTCTCCACCTACAATTTTGTTGATGAAATCCTCACTACTGTGTTTTGAAGGAGAAAACAGTAATCTGGGGTCCTTTTTAACATGATAGCCTGCCAACCCTCCAATAACACAGTACACACTGCAGGCCACAGAAGGCCAAGTGGATCCTTTCCTACTAGCTTTCTAGACAGCTTGTATAAAATACCTGCACTTCAATCATTAAAATAATTAAGACACACTATAACCCCACTATGGCAAACTTCAAAAAACTAGAATTCTAGCCAGAAACATTATCATTCACAAAATCACTTAAGGTTCAACTTTACAACACAGGTTTTTTATATTTTTTTATGTATTTTTGTATTTTTTGTATTTATATTTTATACAAATATATATAATCTGAGGTTCAAAAGAGTCCATTTTTAACTGTAAATAAATGTGTACAATACATCTACTATTCAACCAACATCCAAAGGAATGGTACCTACTTTTTTTGGGGGGGTGGGCACAAGCCAGGGGCAGAGAGAGAAAGAACATCCCACAAGAGTCAGAGGGAGAGAGAAAGAAGCAGGGTTCACCTGAAGCAGGGCTCAAGTTCACAAGCAGGGTTCAAGCATCTGAGACAAAGACAGATGCTTAACCAACTGAACCACCCAGGTGCCCAATACTTACTCTTTTTAAAATACATTGGTAATATATGGTGGACTTGGCAGAATAGAAAATGATCATTTGTCCAAAAACCGTAAAAAATTTAGTGTGTGTGTATGTGTGTATATACACACACTAGTGTGTATAGATATATCTATAGATATATGGGTACCTATATATAGATATAGATATATCTATAGATCTGTATAGATCTATAGATACATCTATACACACACACCATTTTAATCAGCAATTAATATCTAAGAGACAAGTCAGGTTTATTCAAGGTCCAGGCTATAATGAATTTAGCACTGGAAGTGATTAGACACTTGTAAGATCATGATTTTAGTCTTTTACAGATTACTTCCTTCCTTATGTTACTATGAATTTGAAAAAAAGGGGCAAGAAATTTTGAATACTAAACACCTTCAAGAAGTAATCTATTTTCAAAGTATTTCAA